CCTGAGCCCCTAAATGAAGTCCCATGACTAAGAAGTAAATTTCTATTTTATTAGGTCATTGAGATAACAGAGCTGCTTGTTACCACAGCACGTCTGGCTCATTCTGATCAACAAACTTATTTAATTCTTTTAATGTCAATTGAGCTATGCACCTATTATAAAACAGATCCAGAAATTCCATTTATGAGGAATAAGAAAATACTCCTAAATATGGAAAAATACATTTACACATGAAGATGCTCCTTGGAAGGTTATTTTAAAACCAGCATTCCCATAATAGAATAGTTAGCTGCTAAAGAAAAACATACCACATGTGCTTAGTAGATATTTTAAAAGAAGCTGTAATAACATGGGAAAATGTTTATGACTGCCATCCTCATAGTCTTTCTATTCATATAGAATAAGATTGAAGGAAAATCACCAAAAATGTTGAAAATTGGTTTTGTTGGATAGTGCAAATATAAGCAATTTCTTCTCCTTCTCTCTACAGCTTACAGTTTTCCAAATATTTAAAAATAAATTTATACCAATTTTTACAGAGAAACAATGCTTCCGCTTCCCTTTCAATTACTTAAGTTTTAAAATTAATAACAAATAGGTCTTCTTCTTATCTCACTGGTAAGATTTTTCTTCATCCTGGAAACAGACCTTTCCCTAGTTGCTGTGAAATCCAGGTGGTGAGCAATCTTTGCACTTTATATTTTTTGCTACTTTTGTTTATATACATGCAGAAAAGGCAAATTTTAAGAAAAGATGTCTATGAGTTCATCTCATTTAAAAGCACAATAAGTGACCTATTGATGTTTAAGATAGAGAGGCTCTGACCTTGACCAAGACCTTCCCACTCTTTGGAGCCCATTGTCCTTCTCTGATCCAGGAGAGATTGAGTCTGGTGATCCCTAAAGCCCTCTTCCAGATTATCTACTCTGTAACTCCGTGTTCAAATAGAGTAAGATGTTCACAGTTTGGTATGTCAGAAGTGTCATTCAGCCAGGCATTGGAAAACATTTATCTCCTTAATCTTTGTGAATAGATATCTAAAAAAACAACTTACATTTGTATTCAAGGGAGATAATCATTTATGAATTTATCCTTACACAATCATTACAAAGGTAAATTGTGCCCAGGATAGCTTCTTGCAGTTTGTATAACAGGACACAGTTGTACACCATTTTTAGTAGAATCAAGTAGAAATCACTCTGACAAACCTGAGATAACACCAGAGTTTCAGAAACTGGAGAGTCTAGCTTGAAAATATATCATAGGGATCATGAGAGTCACAGTGCTCAGCAGACACAATTTTAGAAAACTTGAGAAAAAGACACTGGAATGATGGAAGACCCAGGTAATCATGGAAAGCAGAATAGAACTGATTAGATCCAGACAGCATTATTTTTCATTCAACCTGGGTCAGTTTTACCCAGTAATTCTGGAGTGACCACCTTGTTTCCTCACTAGCTGCTCCTTCTGTGTGGGCCAGAGCTTCTACACAGAGAAAATTAGAGCCCTTGACCAGATAGCATCTAAAATCCCTGGAAACTCTAATAATATAATTGACTAGTGTTTATTTTTACTATCATTTGATGTCCTTCAGCACTGATTTATAATAACAAAATACAAAACTCAGGTTATGTGCAAGGAGACACTTCCATGTTTTAATGTCTGATAAGCAGATATGGTGTCTGCCAGCTCACAGTTCTTTACTTCTCTCTAGCTTTATTGTTCAGACCTCCCTGGCTGCCTGCAACAGAAGTTCAGCATGACTTGGCTTAAATCAAAAGGAGAAGCCTTGGTTAATATAACCAAGTCACAGGAAGGGCATAGGTGCAGGTGGCCAAAAGACAATGGATGCAGGGTCTCAAACACTGTCAAGACTCTCCATGCTCTTTGAGTTTCAGGGTTCAAACCAGTTTCATTATGTTAGTGGGGCCATGGCTATGGGCAGCACTGGGCTCTCATTTCTGGGGAATTTAGCATTCTTCCTAAAGTTTATATTTGATGATTCACAGGTAAGGACACGTGGGTGGTACAGCTTAGGTCACACTCCCAGCACCTGAGCCAATCATCACGCTCAGAGGTGAGAGATATGACGATTTGCCAGCCTGGTTCCATGTCTAGTCTTTTTTGTCAAGTGGATTTGGGTCATACTGGAAACAATAGAGACGTCCATACTGAGAGGAAAACAGAATAGCAGCTATTTTTGTTTTCTATTGCTGTGTCTCAAATTCCCACAAACTTAGAGGCCAAAATCAACTCACCTCATCTGTTAGTTCACAGTGCCATAGGTCAGAAGGCTGAGCACAATGTGGCTGTGTTCTCTACTCAGGATCTCATCAGGCTAAAAAATGTTGGCAGGGTTTTTTCTTCTCATTGCGAGCTCAGGGTCATCTTCCAAGCTCATGTGGTTATGGCAGCATTCAGTTCCATGAGGTTGTAGGACTGAGGCCCTCATTTCTTTGTTGACTATCAGCTAGGGGCTGCTCTCAGCTCCTAAAGGCCCCTCATATTCCTTTTCAAATCCAGCTATGTAGAACCCCTCTCCCCCAGTGTCAAATTTATCTCACACTTCGAATCTATTTCACTAGCAAAAGCACAGTCCTTTTTAAGGGTTTGGCTGATTAGATCAGTACCTGCTGCTCCCCAGATAATCTTCCCACCTTAAGGTGAGTTGATTTGGCACCTTCACTACATCTGTGAAATCTCTTCATGGTACCTAGCTTAGAGTTTGATTTAATAACTGGGAGAACATGTATACCAGGGAAGAAGAGAGCGGAAATATTGGAGATCATCTTAGAATTCTGCCTACCTGGCTATATGAGCTTAGGAAGTTTGAATCTGTGTTTCATCTTTTGAGACATATCTCAAAAGATCAGTGATCCGAAGACTTAATCTAACCTAAATCTTGAGCAACTAATTCATTTATCAAGCTGGTTGCTTGACTCATATAATCAACATAATTTGATTGAATACACTTTTAAAAATCATATGAGTGTTCTAACTTTGGGAAGATAGAATATGAATTAAAAATGGAGCTTACTTAGGTAAAAGCATGTTTTAAGCACTTTCTGCATGTTCCTCCTCAGAGGGGAGCTGTTTATTCCATAAACTCAATTAGGCCCTTCTGCTATACATCCTCATGGAACTCTGTTGGTTTCACTCATGACTTTCGAGACACTCCTAATTACTCATTCCACATTATTACCACCATCCTGTATACCGACAATGCAGGATCTGCATTTCCTGTTCCATGCAGCATGCCTAGTACATGGCATAGTGGCTGGGACAGAAAATAAATATTCACAGAATAAGAGAGGACAAATGCCAGGCCATGCTTTCATCATTCGTGTACTCCCCGTGCTTAGGGCAGTACCAGCAAGTGGTAGATGTTCAACTGAAGTGGAAGAAAGTCATGGAAGGAGGGAAGAGACGAAGGCAGAACACAGGGCGAGGCCCCTTTAAAAGAAAACAGCTAACTCTCCTTCATGCTGTGTTGACTTGATTGACATGGACAAACACTTCTTAGCATTTTACTTCCAAGAACAATCATATAAGGTGATTTAATTATTTCCCAATGGTTGCTGGGACACCTGAAGCCCATGGAGGACAATGGGCAAAAGGGTCTCCACACCATAACTGCTGTTGGGTCTACCTGGAGGGTATTTATCTGGCTGGGCTTCATGCTACTGGTCACCTATGGCTGTTCTCATTATTTTATCTCAGTCATATGCCCACTTCAAGTCTCTGTACCGGCAAAATGTGCCTGGAGTCAATTACTTAGCAAAGCAAATACACTCATCCCCAGCCAGGCCTGTACTAGACTGTAACTGCAGACAGGATGAACTCACAAAGTACTGCCTATACAAAAGGAGACCTCTTATCACGTCTGGGGAGAGATCAATATCACTTATAATATGTTAACTATTCCACTGACCCTGGAGGTGATCTGGCTATGGAGAAGGACTCACGTGGTCAAATAGCTCTGAAAAAAACCCCACATAATCTGGGTCTAAAATGTCAGTAAAAATGTTCAAACAGACATCTTCTTGGAAGGCAATTTGAGAACTACTTTAGGGCTGTTGTCCTTAACACAGTGTCTGTCTTCCCAGCCAGTCCCTCTCCAACTTCCTCCTTCCCCTACCCTGGCCTCACCCACAACTACAACTCTCACTTCTCTTCATCTTGAAGTGAAAGTCTGATGATGATCGTACACACGTCCTCCTTCCTAAGTGCTGCATTATGTCCTGATGCTTTTTTGCTCTGAAGCATCACTAGTTGCAGGATCAAGCTATTCACAGACCCTGGATCAAGTCCATGGCAAGAGACCACTGGGAAGAACATGATTTTTAAAATTAGTTTTACCTCAACCGTGCTCAATCTCAGCCCACTCTCCCTCAGTGACTTGCTTATTGCTATGGGCTGAATGTTTATGTACTCCGAAAATTCGTATGTTGAAGCCCTAACTCCCAATGTAATAGTATCTAGAGGTAAACGCTTTGGGAATATTAGGTTTAGATGACGTCATGAGAGTGGAGCTCTCATGAGAGAATTAGTGCCCTTGTAAGAAGAGGAAAATTGGCTGGGCCTGGTGGCTCAAGCCGGTAATCCCAGCACTTTGGTAGGCCAAGGTGGGCAGATCACCTGAGGTCAGGAGTTTGAGACCAGCCTGGCCAACACGGTGAAACCCCATCTCTACTGAAAATACAAAAATTATTTTCATGGCGGGTGCCTGGAATCCTAGCTACTAAGGGGGCTGAGGCAGAAGAATCGCTTGAACCAGGAGGCAGAGGTTGCAGTGAGCCAAGATCGCACCACTGCACTCCACGCTGGGCTACAGAGCAAGACTCAGTCTCAAAAAAAAAAAAAAAAAAAAAAAAATTAAAAGAAAAATAAAAAGACGAAAATAGATTCTGTCTCTTTCTTTCTCTCTCTCTCTTGTCAGCGCACTCACCTAGGAAAAAACCACGCGGAAAGAGCGACAGAGAAGGACAGTGGCCATTTACAGGTGCAAGCCAGGAAGAGGGTCCTCACCAGGAAATGAATCCACCGGCACCTTAACCTTGGACTTCCGGCCTCTGGAACTGTGAGAAGTAAATTGTTATTTAAGCCACCCAGTCTGTGGTATTTTGTTACAGCAGCCGAAGCCGACTAAGGCACTTATATTATTGCAATTAATTATTTGTATGATGACAGGTTCCCTAATTGCTATTACAGCTCTCTAAGAGTTCATCTGATTCGGTTTCACCCCTCATGGCGCCTAACCACAGGTACTTATGGGTATAAATGGTTGTTCAATGTTTCTCAAACCTTCACTGTTGTCCTAAGAGTTTGGACTTAATCACTCATGCAGTGGGAGCTGCTGGGAGTTTCTGAATGCAAAGTGGTATTAGCTGTGTTTTCTTAAGCAAATGACTTACCTTTGGAACCTCAGGTTTCTGGTAAGAGAAATTAGGTTGCACAAGGACAGAAAGACGTGAAAGTTTTTTGAACAGCATAATTCATTGCATAAATGTAAAATAGCCTTAAGATCTCACATTCGCCCCTTGTGCTCCTCGAAAGGGCAGAGCGTCTGCTAAAAGATCAGTCTGTGAAGCACTAACTTGACTTCTGTTTATTTAAGCTGGACTAACCTTGTGACGAATTCTATCTCTGTGCTGTGGTTGCCTGAGCAGGGAAAAATATTCAAATATGGAGGGGTTGAACTCCGTTATTATGGGGGAAATATCCCAGCATGCCTTTCAACTTTACTTTTAGGCAAAAGTGACGAAAATTCCTTTCTAAATAGCAAAAACTCACTTTGCTAAACAAGAACTACTGAGGGGGACAAAATCTTGACTTTAAACTTGTCAAATATGTTTTGCAGATCCAAAGGCTAACCACACACAGACACACACACACACATAGTCATGCCTATTGCTGCCATTTTATCCTTAGACTTAGAATGACTTAGTTATAAAGATCACAACACACTAAACACTTCCTGTCAAATGTCCTAGCCAGTGACTATGTGATAAAGATTTCCATATATGGGCGTGTGACTAAGGGCTGAGAGAAAATATGGCAGAGACTGCTGGCTACAAATCTTGGATAATTCCCTGAGAAGGAAGAGGAAAAAAACGGGATAACAAACCTGCCGCACACAGGAAATGCCTGGCTGACAGAACGGCCCAGCATATCCGTGTGGGAAAACGCACAGTCTCGCAGGCACCGGCTTTCGGGGGAAAGATGTCTTTAAAATGCTCTCTCCCCATTTTTACGCTTTCGGATTCCCAAGAGCTTCTGTGGGGACGTTTGAAAAAGACCTGAGCACTCTATGCCAGGACCTTTTGAACAGTCTTTTTCATGGGCTTAGCTCTGTGTTCTTTGCAAATTGTTAGATCCTTCAACCTCTAAATTTTGTTTCAAAGTCATAAATTTCTCTCCAGGCCTCTTGGTTTTCAGAAACCAGCACAGCATGTTTCATTTGTGAACAACTAGAAGAAAGCAACTTTACTGCCAAACTAAAAAAGAAAAAAATGGTAAGTTTCACTGGCTTTTAATTTTACATAAAGGTACGCCCTGCCAGCCAGATGTGGGTAAGTGCAATAGAATAAGGTTGTTTAATCCTCAGCATTGCACAGATTTTCTAGTCTAAAAATATCTCACCAGGCTAAAATGCCGGTCTGTATAAACATAATATAAATTAGAAGAGCAGAAGGTTAATAGTCATTGGTTAGCTTAGAAATTCAGTGGCACAAACACATTTGGGGTGTTATCTACTTGCAAGTCTACCGGCCCTCACCCCAAGTTCCTTTCTGCCATCTTCAGACCCTACACACAGTCAGGAACATTGATGTGGTGAGGTCAGGTGGGTCACCTAGATGACAGGACAGTCCTGCCTTTACATAGATGTGTGTTTTACAGCAAGTTACTTTGTTTCACTGAGCCTCAGGTCCTTACCTGAAAGGTATACCTGAAAGGTAAGGATAACCAGAAGGCTCTCCGAAAGACGGGTCAAGATGAAATAAGATGACAAGTGTAAACATTTGTCACCATGTCTGGCACTTCTTAAGCGCTCACAAAATAAAAGCCTGTTGTTATTAGCTTCATCCACCTCTGCTTGAGCACTGCTTTACAAGACAAATTGATCGGTGGGCAGCACTGAGTTTTTGGTATTCCTGATACAAACCAATCCTGTAAGGGTCACTACATTGAAAATGTTAAAGCCATAATAGATTTATTTTGAATAACTTAATATGTACATCCTGAAGAACTTTGAAATCGCCCACAGAGTCTCGGTAATTGGTTCCATATTATTTTTAATATATCAGCTGATAGCTTGCATCAGTCCTCCTTGACAAGTTCTAGGTTGAGTGTCAGAATCTCCCCCAGGGTAGGATGTCCCTGGAAGAAGTTCATGGCTCTGTGTGTGTGTGTGTGTGTGTGTGTGTGTGTGTGTGTGTGTGTATGAGAGAGAGAGAGAGAGGGAGAGAGAGAGAGAGAGAGATACTAGAGATGTGAAGTTTTCAGACTTACGCTGCTGCTACTACGGCACTTCTTTTTTTTTTTTTTTTTTTTTGAGACGGAGTTTCGCTCTTGTTACCCAGGCTGGAGTGCAATGGCGTGATCTCGGCTCACCGCAACCTCCGCCTCCTGGGCTCAGGCAATTCTCCTGCCTCAGCTTCCTAAGTAGCTGGGATTACAGGCACGCACCACCACGCCCAGCTAATTTTTGTATTTTTAGTAGAGACGGGGTTTCACCATGTTGACCAGGATGGTCTCGATCTCTTGACCTCGTGATCCACCCGCCTCGGCCTCCCAAAGTGCTGGGATTACAGGCTTGAGCCACCGCGCCCGGCGGCACTTCTTTTTATAGTGATTGAATGCTATGGTTTGGCTGTGTCCCCACCCAAATCTCAGCTTATATAGTAATAATCCCCACCTGTCAAGGATGGGGCCAGGTGGAGATAATTGAATCATGGGATGGTTTCCCTCATACTGTTCTTGTGGTAGTGAACATGTCTCACGGGATCTGATGGCTTCATAAATGGGAGTTCCCCTGAACAAGCCCTCTTGCCTGCTGCCATGTAAGATGTGCCTTTGCTTCTCTGTTGCCTTCTGCCATGATTAGCAGGCCTCCCCAGCCACGTGGAACTGTGAGTCCATTAAACCTCTTTTTTAAGTAATACCCAGTCTCAGGTATATCTTTATTAGCAGTGTGAGAGCAGACTAATACACTGACTGAGTTCAAATCCTGTTACTTAAGTACTTAGCCTTTCTGTGCCTCAATTTCCCCATCTGTAAAATGACTCTGAGCAACAGAATACCTACTTCCTGATGGCATTAGGAGGTGATGTCTGTTTATGCTATGCCCAAAGGCAGTGTGGCACAATCAGGAAAACAAGAGCTTTGGACTGGGCAGGGGCCTGGCTTCAAATCTCAGCCCATCCTTTTTCCAGCCATGGCCATGGACTTTATGTCTCTTGGCCTATTTTCTCATTTGTAACAGAGTGGCAGACCCTGATGTTGCTTACGCCATATTTGTTCCTCACTTTTCTTTACCAACAATACTCTGATTTTTTTGGAGCTTAACTATGCCCAGATAAAAAAATATTCATCTTCCCAGTTGCCCTTTGATGTAGTTCTGGCCAATTTAACACATAAGTAGAAATCACTGGGTACAGTGGATGAGAAGGTTGTTTCTTGAAAGAGCAGGCTGGGGTGAGGTGCGGTGGCTCACATCTGTAATCTCAACACTTTGGAGGGCCGCAGCAGGCAGATCACCTGAAATCGGGAGTTCGAGACCAGACCGACCAACATGGAGAAACCCCGTCTCTACTAAAAATACAGAAATTAGCTGCGTGTGATGGTGCATGCCTGTAATCCCAGCTACTCGGGAGGCTGAGGCAGCAGAATCACTTGAACCCGAGTGGCGAAGGTTGTGGTGACCCGAGATCGCATCATTGCACTCCAACCTGGGCAACAAAAGCAAAACTCTGTCTAAAAAAAAAAAGAAGAAACAAAGAAACAAATAGAAAGAGCAGGCTGTGCTGGCATGAACTTCTCCCTTTGCCTTTTTTCCTTTTCCCCCCGCCCCCCGAACCTGGACATGATGCCTGGCAGGGGGCAGCCATCCCATAATCATGAGGTGGCAAACACGAAGAGGAAGGCCTACACACTAAGGTTAGCAGAGCAGAAAGATGGAAAGGCCTGGTCCCTGATGGCTCCCAGAGCTCCAGGGAAGGCCTAGGCAGCCTGCTTCTAGACTTCTTATTTTTAGAGACAAGTCTTGTCAGTCTCTCTGTTATTTGCAGTGAAACTGGTTCAGAACAAACACACATGGGAAATGAAATGATACTTCCTAGGGTCCTCGTGAGAGTCAGAGAAGGTTAGCTATGTGAAGTATGTGCCACAATTCCCAACACACAGTCGACTTCCAATAAATGTGTATTCCTGCCCTCCCTTTCCCATTTTCACATTATGGATTCTCCTTGCTACTGGTTAATATTCGGGGTGTTGAGAGCCAGTTTGCATATCTTCCTTTTAATGTGCGTTAATCTCTAAGTGTGGATTGCCTAGCTAGAAGTGACCCCATCACCTAATATGACTCCTCAAAGCATGTACATACATAGACTGTTTTCTTAGGGCAGAGTTGCAGGAGAACGTGGGCTAATGGCCACCTGGGCTCTGCACTAGTATGAAGCATTTCAAGTTTTATGATGAATGCTGAGCCCCACGTTTCGGTACAGACCTCCCTACTTAGAGAAGATCTGAAAACCATTGTCATATTAGCTACTTTTGTGTGTGTCACTTTAAAAAGAGAAGATTTGGGAAACGTGGAAACTTTCTTCAAATATAACTTGCGTCCTGGGGAGATCTGGTCAACTATTAGCTGTGGGGACTTAACAGCAGCTTCTGAAAAGCTTTCCACTTCTATTTGAGATGAACTATGGGTCACAGGCTTTGAAAGGCTGACCAACATATATTCCCAGTAAATACTGAGTGAATTGATTAACTAAAGACCTACATATTTAACCTTGATGCTTCTATGTTAAAACGCAGCTGGAGTCCTCAATATCTAACTTATTGGTGAAGATACGACCTTGTGTGAAATGGGGTTTGTCACCTGCCTTTGCGGTCATGTGAAATCCAGTTACTTCTCTCCACCTGGTGAGCTCCTTTTTTGGAAACGTACTGGGAAGACCACCTTGAAAAGGCAAAGTCTGCAGCCTACCCACCCCCAAAGCCAAAAGCAGTGGCTATAAAACTGGAATTGCTAAGGCCAAAGGAACTGGTTTATGTACAAGTCATTTTTATGAATATCTTGTTTATTTCAAGTGAGTTAGCATCACACACGCTTGGCATTCTCCTCCAAGAAGTCTACTTAGTTGGTTAGAAGCACATGAAATGGAGCTTGAGCTCTCAGCAATGGCATGTTGACCGTACTCAAAGTTATTAAATCTCGAACATGTGAAAAAGAGAAAGTCATAATGCTACCAGTGGAGAGGAGAAAGTGCACACAAAATCTACTAATGTGAAGACAGCATGTTGGGAAATGAAGCAAAAGGGAATTTCTTCATTACTTGTGTCTGGTTTTATGTTATAGTGAAAGCTATCTGGCTACTACAGTTGGTTTTATGTAGACCTCATCTGTAACTACCTAAGCACTCCATTGGGCTAAAATTTAATCAAATACCTTGGTTTCTAGTTAGTAGATTTGTAGCAAGCATCAGTGATTAAAAAAAAAAAATACCTGAAGTATTCCCACCTTAGACTTAATAAATGTTCCCTTCTCAAATTCAGGATGAAAAAGAAATTCTCTGATGGCGGCAAGGGAATGAGTTCTCTCACTTTTTATTTTCTCAACTTACTTAGACAACACATTCATTTTATTGAGGACTCCTGGCATTGAATTTGAAGTTTCAGAGTTTTGGAACTCATTTTTGAGGTGATATTGGGAAAAAAGCATCACATATATATTTTCTTCAATTGTACTTTGGGCTCCTACATCTTGCAAGATTGTTGCATAGGTATATGCATGCCGTGGTGGTTGGCTGTCTCCATCACCTCCCCCCGACCCCCCACCCCGTTGCATACATCAGGCAAGGCATTTCTCCCCGTGTTATCCCTCCCCATCGTCCCCGTCCGGCACTGTCCTTCTCCTCCCTTCTCCTCCACTCCCCAACCTAACCCAGTGAGTGTTGTTCCCTTCCCTGTGCCCATGTGTGTTCCCATTGTTCATCACCTGCCTATGAGTGAGAACATGCGGTGTTTGGTTTTCTGTCCTTGCATCATATCTTTTTAATGAAGTTTTTTCACTATTAATAAAAGTCAGCTGAAATGTTTCCCATCATTCTTCCCTCCTACGCCTTGCTCCAACTTTACCCTTTCTGTTCAAATCTGTCAAATTTCCAGTAAAAATGCTCTTTCACAGAATATTAGAAACTTCGACTAATTAAATTAAGGCCATTAACTCTGGCAATG